CAGTTGAGGATTATCAGACAGGGAGAATTCTGCAAGTTTGTAGAGCCACAGTAGTTGGATAACATGTTTTTAAAAATTCTGTAGAATGATAAAGTAAGGAGCAGGAATCTGGTTTGTCTTTCCCAGTTACATAGGTTTTATGAAGTACTTTTCAGAATGAAGTTGTCAAAACTCCATACATTTTATTGTAATATAAACATTGCTGGCTGGTATGGCTAGATAGATATGATATTGTGCTTTTATTCAAAGATTTAATGAAATGAGGGGGAAGTATGAAGGGTAATTTGTGGCATATGTGATCATCCCTGTCGTGCCACCTCCAATTAGTTGGTCCCACCTGGGAAAACTTCAAGCCAGTTTCATAATTCATTAAAATGTATGGGATTCCTTGGTTCCACAACATTATCTTAAATAGAATGCCACATTATGTTGATTTTTGTAGTAGAATCTCACATCCTTCATTTGCAGATAGGCCCTTTTTTCATAAGGTCTTGAACTCAACTTTACATCATAAGTAGTTTCACTGATATCAGGGGAACTACTCCTATGACTATTAGGTAAGTGTACCTTGCTGCATTTGGGCTATAATGGAATATGTCTCCTTACTGCACTTGTTGATGACATCTTGTGTAATTTATTAAAAACAATGCCCATATAACTTGGCCAGCGCTGTTGGGGTGTGGGTGTGTGTGGGTTTTTTTTTTTTTTTTTTTTTTAAGAATTGCTGCTAAGAGGGAAAGGAATTATACTGGAGATGAATGTAATTGAAGCTGAGAAAAGCAACCTTTTAAGTTTGAATATTAGTATTGGCATGTATAATACTGAATGGGTTGTGTGTGTATACTGTATGTATAATATGCTGTATGTGTATACAAATGTACACAACATGCATTTTAATTTATTGACTCTGTAGCAGAAGATGGGAATGCTTGAACTAATCTAAAAAGATGAGGGATTCTTGGTGTGATATTAAAAATGAGAACGTTTGATTTGTTAACTTAAAAAATGTAGCTACACTTAGTATATGGATAAAGTCAGTTCTGGATTATTTGCAATTTGAATTGTAGAGGCCTACAGCTCATAGGTTGGCACAGATTTCTGATGTTTTGATTTTGTAAAAGAAAAAATCAGGGGTGGGCACTGGAGATTTCTAATCTTCCTTATACTTTTGTTTTGTCATGCATTTATCCTGTATCTTCAGTAATTCATTTTTGCTGGTGATCTGTAGTGTTATCCTTATCAACTTTTAGTTTGTGTACTTGTTAAGGATTCTGTCTTAGTGGGAGGACTCTTTTACATAAGATGCAGACATATCACTAACTTAAAAAATAGCAGAGCATTTTAATTTGTTTTTCATTTGAGAGTTCTGGTTAAAGCTCTGTCAAGTTTTAATTTGTTTCTTTATATATATTAAAACAAACAAAAATAGTCCCTCACATATTTCTTTAGAGAGAGTTCAGAGAAAAACTGATAATTCATCTACACAGTTTAGTCCTTAATTTGGCAAGAAGCAGCTCTGTGCAGGCAGACCATTTGTATAGATGCAGAGTTCCTTGCATGTGAGCTTTGAAATAGAGACACTTTTCATTGCAAAACAGCCAGTCCCCGAGTTACAAACGCGTTACAGACCAAACGCTTGGCCATAACTCGGAACCCATTGAGTTACATTGCAACTGGCTGTTTGTAAGCACGGGTCGCGTTCGTAACTCGGATCCACATTTATGACCGCTTTGGTTGTAAGTGCAGACGGTCATAAGTGGAGGTGACCGTAAGTTAGGGACCGGCTGTATAATTTAAGCCCCAAATTTCTAATGCAGAATATGAAAAAAAAAAAAAGTATTAGTTATATCCTGAGTACAGGTACCAAAAACATTCAGATGCAGATTTCCCTCCCCCCACTCCCCCCCTTCATTTTGACTTAAGCACAAAGAAATTTTAATAAGTAAAAGCCACATTGCAGGGACTAACCAGAACAAAACTACTCCGAACTCTGCTCTTATGTTCAGTGTGCTTTTAGAGTATGTTTTCTGCCAGTCCAAATTCACAGCAGCTCATAAAGTTTTAAAATGTTTATGCTTTTTCTTAATTTGACTGTATCTTGTATTGTACATTTGCTCCTTCAGCAGCACTTCTCTTTGTGCACTGATACACTGAGGCCTATTCTGTGCCTAAATGGTGAAAAGTTCACCTTCTAAAGAGAGTTGCTTATCTGGCATTTCCTGTTCTTCCGATTGAAAACATCTATTTGTGTGCAGAAGTAAATATTTGCTGCTGCTGGAAAAAGTATAGCAGTTTAGCGTCTCTCTGTTACACATTGTCATTCCCTCTGCTACACATTTAATTAGACGGAGCTATATGGATATGTGCAACTACTTTCTAAGAGTCTCAGACTTTGCTATTTTAATTTCTGGTATACCTGCTAACATGTACTGTGGTTTTTAAACTAGAAAGAAAGAAAGCGCAACTGCATTTAAAGCCATTTTTGTTTGCCTTTACCTTTTGTCTTGGTCTGTTGTTAATGAGAGCAAAACTGCCAGTCTTAAAATATTTTACTGTTGTGCTGAAACAAAACACTTGAGATTGCACAGGGCTTTTCTTTAAATGAATTTTAATGCCTATTGTCTAAAGAGCTGTGTGTTATACAAGACTGTTTTCAATCTTTTTTCAGAGCAAATTGTAACAATTAGGAATTGTGAATTTTCAGAATTGAAAATTTCTAAAAGACTTAATTTCAGGGTTTTATGGACGAAAAAACCAAAATGGGACCAAAGTTTATGTGCCTTCAGTAGTCCTAATTGTAAGGGTTTTTTTCTTATCTATTTCAGTCTTAAATGGAATCAGTGCTCTTGTTTTCAGGAAAATGTGTATTTATGTAATTACAAATGAATGTTGCCCCACTAATTGTCCATACATGCAGTGAATTGCAAGTGTTTCAATACCATTTCAGTTATCCCTCTGCCTTTACCATTGCAATGTTCATTGTACTGCAGTATGCAGGAATCCAAAAATAATCTGCTTGTGGTTATGACAGCTTCTGCCTGGGGAAGTCCCTGAAAAATGGGGGTGCTTGTATAGCTGAAAGCCTTTGATAATAGTTTAGGTGAAGGAAAGCTTGTACCTTCCCAAGCTAATATCAGCACCATAAATAGTTTTTCAGTTCTTGGATCTCTGCACAATATGTGTGGCATTAGTGGAAGTCTGATCCTCTACATATTTGTGATTAGTCTTTTAAACCACATTCAAATTCTTTTTGGTATGTTACTCTGTTTCTGCAGAACTTCATCCCATACCCACAGCAGCACACGTCATAAAAGTTGCTGACCAAGCAAATTCTTGCATCAGAATGTCACCTCATT